AGTAAATGGCGGCTTTGACCGGTCTAGAGGGAATGTTTACTCATCCATGGCGCATGCTCTCAGCTTTAGTTTTAGAACTCGGTGTTTTCTCTCCTCTAGATTTTTTATGTTTATTGTATATTTTCTAGTTGTTGCTTAAATCAAAATGTATTTTGATAATTTCAAGAAAGATGATATTGCACAGAGATTAATTAAAAAAATACCTTTTTCCGTCTACTCATGTGTTATACACTTTAAGGATTTGAAGAATTAAAAGTAATTCCGAGAATTAGATGAAAAAGGGCACCTTGAAAATGATATTTAATGTGTATTAGACCGTCTAACCCAGTTGTTTTGTGGGAATATTTATTTATAAATTAAGCATTTCTTTGTCATCTGCCATATCCTCCTGTTATGCGAGAGAAAAAAGAACAGTAAAAAGATCGACATTGTGGATTAAATTACCATTGCCTTTTAATGTTGAAAACATAAAAGGTATCAAATTTTACGAAAATGAAATAATTGTTATTATAAAAGACAAACAACTTTTCAGTGATATTAAAGCAGCATTAGGGATTAATTAACTGTTTTAAATTGATTATAATTAGTACAACATCTCCCCCAAAACACACTTGAAATATCTAAATATGTACATTTTGTATTGCTTGTGCATTCATGTACTTTCGTGGTTAATATCTTATCTTGTTTTGACCTCTGATAGTAGTGTTTAGTCCGTTAAGAACAATTAAAACATCGATAACTACTTCACGAAATGAAACAATATATATTTTAGCAAGTAAATTTAAGTAAGCATAAAAATAATGGCCTTAGATTCAACTACAAACATTACCCTATTTGATATACTGTAGAAGTACAATTTTCCGCGTGGTATTAATTTACGCTATGTACGCGGTCACAATTTTTCCGCGGAAATTTGTCCAAGCGTACTTAATATAAATGTAAGGCATATAGTGACAATCTAGAAAATCCGCGTAATTTTCTACCCGCGGATTATACAGAAATTGGTATTCCGCGGAATTATGACCCCGTGGAAAAAAGTACGTCTACAGTAATCTATATGTATATAAAACGTTTTTACATGGGTACTCCTATATATCAAATGTTTCACAATTTATTTCTCATTTTATTCATGCTGCCATCTCATAATTTTGATAACCCTTATTCCCTAGCATATTCATTTACTGCTTCCACACAATGCATTTCCGAAAACAATAAATAGTCTGTTTGGTCCTGAAATTGAGACCATTAAATGTGTCACCTATTTATACTGCCACATCAGGTGGCAAGAGATATAGGTAAACCGCGCTTCCTTCAAATAATTATTCTTTGTGGATGAGGTTAACAGGAATATACAGTATCAAATATTTAGGGGAATGGGAAAATGAAAGCTTACTTTCTTTTCAAAATAACTTATAATTTTATTAATTTTTGCCGACTTTATGTCCTGTAAAATCACCTGAAATGGCTACCAATCTAGAACTTTTGACATGGTAGGAATAATGTTATTTGAGACTGTTGTATTCTTAAATGACCCTAGTGCATAACCTTTACATGCAGGTTTGTGTGGATGAAACAGAATGTGTTAGAAATATAGAATTATATTATTTTGAAATATACAGTTACAAAAAAGTTACAAAAAGTGCACTTTTGAAAGCAATAAATATAAACTCTTTTATTAATGTAAAGCATTGTAGCTCTTTAGATGTCAGTCGGAATGTTTAAGGACAGACAGATACACATCTGCAGCTAAAGAAAAACATTTATGGAAGCCTTTATATTCTCTCGTGAAGAGAAGGACAATCTAGAGAAAAATCATACCTTCTCGTGAGATATTTCTGACCTACTTCCATTTGAATTCAAATTGCAGAATATAGAATAGGTGAAAAGGGAGTTTATGTGCGTGTACGTGATGATTGGAATTTAAACTATTTAATATGAAACACTTGGAAATGATGTGTCATATATTTATTGACAAATACAGTTAATTAAACAACGATAGAACTGACAATAAGAACCAATAGCGCAAAAAGCTCTATCTGAAATATCATTTTCTCCATTTTATCTTAAGTTTAAATCCCTAAAATATTACGCTGCAGTCAAAATTAAAATTGAAAATTAAATCCATTTTACTTGCAAATGATTTTTCTTTGAATGGCCCTATATATTTATCTAGAAATACATCGATAATGTCAATATTTCTCTGCATTCTTAAAAATTATTATGTTAGTTTATTTTTTTTTTGTTTGGAATATACCGTATAGGGGGTTTCTTGGTGGATTTAAAATTTGGTGTTTTGCCTGCTCAATGTATGCTAATAATTTGGCGTAATAATTTATTTTAGCGGACACAAGATTACACCTCTGTGCAGATCAACTCTAAGAAGAATACAGAATATTTTAGCGGACTACCATCAAAACGTCAAAATAAGACAAAATTTTAGCTTAAATAACCCGCTATACGGTATATAATTTGGCAATGTATTTAACTTTGGTAAGTGACTCTATCTTGATAAGTTATGGTGAAGTCTGCATGTTGTTTTGATTGATTGATTGATTGTATATTGTTTAACGTCTCTCCCGAGAATTTTTCAATCATATGGAGACGTCACCGTATGCCGGTGAAGGGCTTCAACTTTTGACCTTTACTCGGCACTCATGGCCATTGAGCAGTGACGGATCTATATCGCGCCAACGCCTGCCGCTGACACGGGGCCTCGGATTTTAAGGTCTCTTTCGAAAGACCCGCAACTTTCACTTCAAAGTGTCGAGCGCATGGCAAAGGAACAGTTGCTACCAATTTTTACCACTAGGTCAGTTGCACCCGAGATACGAACTCACGACCTCCCGATCACGGAGCGAGCGCTCTACCCACTGAGCTACCGTGAACGGTACATGTTGTTTTGCTTTAATCATGTTTGGCGGTAATGTCATGGTGTTAATTTTGAAATTTTACCGGGTGGCAGTATATACAAAAGGTAAGTTGAAAATCTTCAACATGACAGCGGGATTACGGAATTTATGGTACCATATTGCCTCTTGTATATAAACAAATTTCATATATTAGTTAAATTCCTATCCAAATTATAAATGTTAGTATGTTTTTATAATATAAAAGTGACAGATGCCGATCATGTATTTCACATTCCATATATTAACATATTTTGCTTGTCATATACATCAGCTGTACAGTTGTATTTCCATGCTGAAGCTTTCAATATTTCCCAAATGTTTAGTAGAGAGACCTTGACATTTTATACATCAACCCCTCCAAAAATGCACATTATTATTCTATTTTGCCATAAAACGACAAACAGGCTCCTATTGTGTGCACCCGTATCTAGTCAAGAAAACTCTTCATCCATGGTAGACTTGTATATATTACCTGTTCTTCAACGCTTCACCTTCCACTGCGTATAATGGCTAAGGACATTGAGGCTGCATTTATAGGATAAACTTTGATGCGTCTATTACAAAGACCGCTGTAAATACATTTTAATAATTGATATGAAATTAAAAGCGACTGTATCGTTTCTGGTTGAACCCTTTAATAGAAATGGACATGAGAACATATTTAAAGCTGAAATTTATATTGTAAAGAGATATGTAAAATTCCATCCTTACGATTGTCCGTACATCATTTTGCCTAACGTCAATCCGTCTATCCGTGTACGTTTGTAATACGTTATATCCTTAGAACTGTATGATTAGTTGACAGTTTGCTTGACACTATGATTTTTGTAAGATAACTATGAATACGACTCTAAAGTTGACATTTTAGGTTTAAATAGTCGTTATCGTAATATACGAAATAATTTGAACATTTTAGAGGAAAATCTTTCTTATAAAGTATATCTGTACTCTTTCATACGTTTTTTAAAAATAAATTTTATGAGTGATATTGCTTATTTAATTTCTGGCTTATTTTAAGTTTCCAAGGTAACGGACTAATAAACTTAAAAAGGTAATATTTTTATTATCTCCTGGTATACATTTATATCTGATCAATAATTTGCAAAATTCGACTTAACATACTATACTGAAAGAAATTATCAAATAGTTTCCTAATGGGATAGCAAATCAAATACTTGTTGCTTCTTTGGTATTTAAATATAATATCTACATTATGCACAAATTTTCCGGAGTTCAAACATTTTTCTCGCATAAACTATCAAATAATAACTAATATAAATTGTAATGTAAGGAAATCAAGTCAATAAAACATTTATTGTATACCTTATGTGTATCACTCGATTTTCTGTTGATTTTATGCTATCACATGACGTCGTAATCCGACTTTCCTGATCACCACACTGTGGTTAGCTGAATCCATAACACTACTCTGAAACTAATGACATTATGCAGAAACATGACATTATTTTTCCTGTGCGTTAAAAGAGTCCATTGTACTTATATTTGTTTTATGGATAAATATTATACAACTGATCTTGAAAGTTTTATTTAGCTATTTCTAATGAGGTATATAATAAATTCATCATTATAACAGTAACTTGATCGGAAGAGCCGTATAACGTCTCGTTTGATCTGATGATCCGCGCCTGTGAACTCGACGAGATGCATCCCTTCGGATAAAGTTATATATATATTTATATTTTTTTTTCACTAGTAGTAGTACAGTATTTATATCTCTGTGCATATCATTCATGCCTAAATCTAGAAATTTTGAGGTTTTCAGGATGTTCTATTTTTTCATTAAATTCTTCGTAAATAAAGAATGTTCCTCAAAATGTATTAATTCTAAGACAGGAAGCTTATTTAAATAACGATTTTAAGTTAGTGCAGAAAAACATGCGGATAATGTTTGTGAGCAACTGAAAGAGGATATCCTTTTTTTTACTCTTTTATGATGCATATGATACCTTGATTTTTTTTTCCTTGAGTGCAGACGTTACCTTGGTATTTAAAAAAAAGGTTTTCCCAGCGACTCAGGAAACAGACGCATATATCTGAACAACCAATAGAATGTGTGCATAGTCAGGCGGGGTGAAGGGACAGTAAAGGACACCCTTAACTGAACGAAAACTTTTTCTGCTCTATGTAGATTAAATAGGGATTGATAATTTTATCCTGAATTCGAATGTAAGTATATTTTAAATTAAATTAAAAGGACTATATCTAGAACACCCAGTTCCTTATTAGTTGATACCATACTGATTTCCTCCCATATCAAGCGACAACTACATTACTTATTTCAACATGTATATGTCCTTTCTTTAGACCTGTTTCACAACATATTTTTTTTCGGCCACACCCTTTTTATTCTAGTCATTATACATTTTAATTTACTTTAGAACTGATGTTATTTGCAAGAATTAAGAGCATTCATTAAATGAATTAATGATAGTTATCATGTAAATAAGGTCTATACAAGCAGTTCCAATTTGGTGAAAATTTCCTTAAAAGGATTTTATATCCGTTTAAAGTAAATAAAAGTCATAATCCCTTAAAAATCAGATGAATAAAACACACTATTAGTGGCAATTATCACGGCACAATCAGGGATATGCACATTGTTTCGTTTATTGCTTACTGTTTTTGATTATCCTATACTCAATCCTTTAAAATTAGAGATGTCAACGAGTACCCGGTTAACCGGGTACTCGATCGAACGTCCGAGTATCGAATACTAAAATCGGTACTCGGTCACTCGGATCATAGACCTAAGACGTTTTAGGTCTATGCTCGGATGTATACTTTTGAATATTTCTAAGGTTATTTATTAATGCATTAAACAATCTGTTTTAAAACGTAAAATACTCATTGCACTTGTACATATAGTAATTAGGGTTTCCTACTCGTTATTGCCCGTGGCAGTGTTTATACAGTAATTATCGCGACCAAGCACCTGTTACCTGGGGCTGTCTTCTACCATTATTTTTTGATTTTCTTTATTTTTTTTTTGTTTTCACTGAACATCATTTAAGGTCTGTTATGATTGAATAAATTAGATAATTTTGTCAATTCTCCGAGAAGCCGTAAATTCTCGGGAAAAGGGACAGATGATATTACACGCGCGACTGTTGATATGGTTGTTTGATTACATGCCAATACATGTACAAATAGTTGAAGGCAAAGGCTTTAGATGATAGTACTGATGTCCATCGTTACACCAAACAACAAAATACCGTCCCGTGATACTATAAAATCTAGGATCAAAAAGTATACAAAAATCGTAAATCGGCTCTGTTAAAACTTGGTCATGTTTAAGTCAAACTGTACGACTGATATATACCTTGACGTCAAATGAACAAAGAGTTACATTACAATTACGTAGTAGATTATTTTTTTTAAAAAACAAAAACATCATGAACCACTTCCGGTTTTATTTCTTGTGTTTATCTGATAAATAAATTGAACTTAAAAAAATGTATTAAATTTCGTCGGGCACGAAGTTTTCATCATTGTTACAACAGAAATGCATTTAAAGATAAATGCAATAAAGATATTATTTCAACGACCTACATACGTTGACTTTGATATGACAGTTAATTAAAACAAATTGTCGCATCATAATAACTAATATTACATAAGATTATTTTCGTAATTTTTATTTGCTGAAAGGGCGTCACGTGATATTCCTCCTTTTGTGATAACGACGCAAAAGCGCGTCGGCGGAAAATGATAAAGCACGACACAGCATTCGGTTGAACTGAAGTTACGCAAAGGAAGAAGGAAAAAAGGAAGCTTAACATTCCAATGAAATGATACAAATAAGGAGCAGAGAAAACACGGAACTTAAAACATTAGATGGAGGATTCGTTTTCATGATAGAGTGAGAATTCCCTGTTGACCGATTTCACCTGCTTGTTTGTTAAGGTCTTCCGTTTCCAACGGAAGACCTTCTACTGATTCTGTTGGTTAAGATTATTATTCTTTTTTTTTTCTTCTACTTCCTAGACGCCAACTTTGAGGCCTCATATCTCACTTATTTATCAACGAATTTCGCTCAAATTTTCAGACATTATAGACATCATTAAACTCTATCAGAGTGCTATCTAACATTTCAAAAATTCACTTCCACTTTTGAGTTATTCCCCTTTAAACGAAAATTTATAGGCTTTCGTTTCCGGATAAAGGCTCAGAGACCACAAAAGCTGGAGCAGAAATTTTACTGATTTTGGGTAACAGAAGGATTGAAGTTGTGCACATCGGTTTTTGTTTTTCGATTTCTGTATTCACAATGGCGCTATATAGGGGTCAAAAATTAGAACGCCTAAAAGAGCGAAAATTTACACATATTTTCCTTTTTATCTTGAAAACTAAAAATATTTTGTTAAGACATGTAGATCAAAAGTTGTGCATAATTGCGAGGGCTTTCATGTAATACTATTCAAAAGGGGCTGGCCCCTATAATTAGGGCTCTATGGAACTTGAAAGTTTTCGCTTTATAACTCAAAAACGGTAAATATTTCGATCTAGATCTTACGAACAAAATTGCTCTTTTACACCTTTTTGATCTGATGAAAATGCTGTTTTGTTCGATAATGCCGGGAATATTGCGTAATAATGCGGTAGAAAGCAGGCAAGGTAAACAGGTAGCGTTTTTCGGATTACATTCACCTTGTTTGTTTACAATTATATAACACGCCTCCCTCGATAGCGCGGGGCAATGTCGGTCACCGGCGGGTAATCCAGCGACCCACAGTTATACACAAATAAAAACACAGAATGGTTAAATTCATTCTTTTAATATATAAAATTGTACCTTAATACTATCTCTGTCCTATAAAAATATTAATTTGTTCGAGTCTTACGTATTATAGGAAAGAAAGCTAGGCAGTTCTCATCTTGCTATTGAAGGAAAACTCTGTAATCTTTATGCGCAGAATTGAATTAAACTTGCCGTAAGTAATAAATATTTTACAATGCTGTATCACATCTCTTGTTTTTAATTAGGTTTTAAACGTGTTCTTTGGTTCCCGTTCAGAGTATTCAATGGCATCATTTTCCTTTTATTAATCAAGATGTTTCCAAGAGAAGAGTTTTAGAAAAAAACTTTTCATCGTTAAAATATGAACACAAACAATATGAACGAAAACGATACACGCCCGGATCTCATAAAAAGAACTTGTAAAGAGTCAAATAATACAAAAATTATTTACTGCGCAATTCTCACATTCACCTGGAACCCAGATTTTACGTGTGTTGACCATTGCTGTGTAATCTTACGATTACACGCATCCAAGAAAATCTTAAGCGACACGCCGCGGCGAACCATTGACCCCGTAGTCATGGGCAAAATAATTGGTGTATTAAAACCATTTTACAAATAATGGAAAATTATTATTGTCGGATATTTGAGATTAATATGTTGGCTTATCTTCGTTTTAAATTTGATCGTGATACATGTTTATCTAAAACAGCTATCTTGGTTTTGTGTTTGTTTACAATTACGCGACCAACCATTCCTTCCGTCGCTTGTTGACATTAATTTACACAGCGTGGTCGAATGTTAAATCCTATTTTACAAACTTACGGAAAACATTATTTTCTGTAAGTAAATCGAACCTTTCAAAAATATTTTAAAATATCTTAGGTTTGACTTTAGAACAAAACGCTGGGGTATTTATTTTACATGTACATTAATCAGTCTTCAATTTCGTTAGCTCCATGTGTAATTTTACTTTTCGTTTTGAGGATTCATAATAATAATAATAATAATAATAATAATAAAACTTTATTTAAAGAAGGTAACCTGGTTAGTGCATGCACTATTCTTCCCCAGGGCCCTCTATACATCAATTACAAAAAGATACAAGATACAATTCATCATATATAATAGGAAATACAATCACAAATTATGAATACAGTGTCCATGTACACAAATATGACAATACAGAAATATGATGATCATAAACATATGCTCAAATAATTGAGCGACAGCTGATAATATAATTTTCTACATTACGTTTAAATGCTTGTAAAGATTGAGAGAGTCTAATGTATTGTGGAAGTTTATTCCATAGATGTACACCTGAGTACTGAAAAGAGGTCTTGAATAAGTTTGTATGAAATTTTGGTAATTTAAGATCGTAATTAGTTTCAGATCGCAGGTTATAGGAAGTTGAAGAATGAAATTCAAATAAATTATGAAGATATTCGGGAGTCATTCCGCTGAAAATTTTGTATAATAATATGTATTTGTACAGATCAACTAGCTCATAAATAGTTAACCATCCAAGTTTCTCAAATAGTGGTTTAGATGAAGAATCAGGACTTGCATCAAGAATAATCCTTGCTGCCCTTTTTTGTAGTTTAAATAGTCTGTCCATGTCCTTCTTAGGGGCATTACCCCAAACAGTCAAACAATAGTTAACATGGTTAATAGATGGTAAAATATAAGCATTGTAATATAGTTTCCTGGTATGAAGAGGGAGAAATTTTTTAATCCTACGAAGAGTAAATAACTTATAATTTAAAGTTTTACAGACCGAATCAATATGATTCGCATACTGCAACTTATCATCAATATGTACACCAAGAATTTTTTCAGTTTCAACCATTTCAATTGTTTTGTCTGAGGCATAAAGTTGTAAATTTGGATTTTCTAGTTTTGATTTTCTTTGTTGTGTTCCCATTAACATACATTTCGTTTTATCTACATTTAATACCATTTGATTTTGAGCACACCATTTCTCAATTTCACAAAGATCTGAATTTAGTGTCTTTTCTAAACATCTTGCATCATGATTATTAGAGTACAAAGTAACATCATCAGCAAACATATCAATATTTGAATTGTTTACATGTAAAGGAAGGTCGTTTATGTACAATAAAAATAAAAGTGGACCTAAAATTGACCCTTGTGGTACTCCTGCTGTGACGGGTAGAGTATTGGAGACACATGTTCCAAATTTAACACACTGGGTCCTATTGTAAAGATATGATTTAAACCACTTTATAGCTGTTTGGTCAAATTTGTAATGGGTTAATTTCTCTAGAAGAATGTCATGATTCACCAAGTCAAATGCTTTACTAAAATCTATAAATGTAATTCCAATTAGTTCACCACGATCCATTGCATTAAGCCAACTTTCTGTTAGTTTTGTAAGGGAAGTTTAACAAGAATGGAGTGCCCT